GCAATAAAACATTAATACTGTTTAAACGCTTAAAAATAGTCAAATCCCAAAAATACTCAAATTAAAAAAAACCTTTTAAAGGAACAAATTATTACTAAATGTAAAATCTGAATGAATCTTTTTATGAAAGAATAAATCTTTTCATGTAATTGAAAAAGAGAAAAAAAAATAAAAAATGCCAATTGTAATTTCAGATCTTTTATTTAATCGCCTAACATAATTGCTTCTCCATTTAAAATATCTGTTTGTGTCATGAAGTCTTCACTAATTCAAGTAGTGGTCAAGAAGATGACAGATTTTCTAATATCCTTGCACACATTTGAATTCCTCAAACATTTAAAAAATTGTTTTGACATTTCCAATTTACTGTCTGTCTTCTAATATTAGATTATCCCAAGCGGAAAGAGAGATTGACTCCATCACAGTTATGAAGAAAACAAAAAGTATTGACATTTCCTTCGCCGCAAGAAAAGAAAATATCTTTTTTAAACCGAAATTTGAAACAGTTCCCTTTTGAGTTCATTGGATTTTCCTCCTTACGGTAGCTCTTAAAAATATTGATTAGAGTTTCCTTTTCGACCTCTCAAACTCTATTAAAGAGAAAAGTACCTTTTTCGTATTTTAATTTTAATGGAAATATCAGAAAGTTATTTTAATTTGACAAGAAAATTACTCTTTAAAATAAAACAGGATGGCAATACATTTATAATGTTGGTACAGAAAGGCGTTTAAAAGGTAAGTGTAATTTATCCTTCTGTTACGAAATTTCAAACATTTATGAGAAATCTCTTTCATTGATCCAGTTTTCTTTCTTCTTTTTTTAATAAAGAATTTGTTTCTTCAAAATATTTGTTAATCCATTTAAAAAATGAGAAGATGCAGGATAACACTGATGATGATATATTAAGAAGAGTTGTTTGGAGTGATACGTCGTTTTCTATTGGCCATTAAGGACATACTAATAATGATGTATATTTATCAAATAACTATTATTTATTTAGTAATATGAGCTATTTGAGCTCATTTTTCTGTTAAGGGTGCTTTAAATAAGGAGAGAGCACAACATAAACGTGATACCCTTACTGTAAAAAACTACCTGGCGAAATTTTTGTAACAACAGCTTCAGTCCTTCACAAATTTACGCAAAATAAAGTCTTTCAGCCCACGCAGCTGTACCTACAACAAACAGACTTTGATAATATCTCTAACTATGATTCGAATACTACAACTATTCACCCGAATACTTTTTATCCGGAAAATGACCCAACTAAAGATACTCCAGCACAAAAACGTATCAGATGAAACTCAACCGACTTTATAACCAGCAATGATGTTGATTTCTGGAATAAAGAAATTAAACAAATATTTCGAATCCTCTCAAAGAAAAAAGCATCGGGACCGGATGGACTTGATTATCCAATTATCAAAATAGCCTATAAAGCACTCCCTGAAATATATCATAGTGAAATATATCATGGAACAAGATATCTGTCAACAGCACTAATCAAATGAAGGACATTCACTGAGCTCAGCTTCTTTTCAGCAAGTGCATGATTAATTTAATAAAAATTATATGCGTAATTTTAATGTTAGTTTTATTTTATTTTATTTTTATTTTTAGTTGATTTTAGTTTTAGTTTAATTTTAATATTAATTTTAGTTTAATTAGTGTTTTTAGGTGTATGTTTATTTAGAAAACACGTTTACCTTCTGTAAAACCAAGCCGATCACTACGTTCATTAAGTAGGGGGAAAAGTCATTCGTAATATGTCATTTATGTGCTCTAGGCCTTCTCTGGTCGTACCAAAATTATTTTTGTTGCAATAAATTCCTGATAGAAGGACAGAGAAAATTCCTGCTAACCTCTGGTAGCCACCAGGAATCTCCGCTCTCCTTCACCTGTCACCTGATAAGATTGTTTTATAAGCTTTATATAGAGGCGCTCAAAAATTCCCAACTGATCATGATATTTAGTGGTTAATAATGCCCGAGCTATTAGTCTCATTAAATACAAATAATCGCGAAATAAAAATCGAATTTCTTTAATAGTTTTTACATGATTATAAGCTGTTTTATCAATACACTGATTTCGAAGAAATTTTTAAAATAAAATTTTGCTCAAAATGAACAAAGTTTGAGGCATTTGTCATACGTTGAAACAATCCACATGATTACTCCACGTTGCATTCCTCGCATTTGAAGTTTATGCTCACATATCAGTTACTTCTCTCTGTATTATAAATTGCAAATTAGCCAATATATAGTTTGTACTGTCAGGAGGGAATTAATTTGACAGCTTATGAACGCAATAAGCCACAATAAGAGATCGTCAGAAAGGCCATAAATATTATTTCAAAAAGCAAACTAAAAATTCTTTCACTGATACATATTTTATTAGTTAGTAACCGCTATTTCAAATGCATTTTATTACAAATTAGCAAAAACATTATTCCAATAATGAATTACATTATAAGGTATCTCTCCCGCTTTCCTAGCGTGCATTCGTGGTGTAGTGCTTCTGCACGCTAGGCCGGTATTCCAGAGGTCCGTGGTTCGATTCTCGGCGAAGGCGCTGCTAATTTTTCATCTCTCTGGCTTACAAAAAATCCTAATGTCTCTACAACATTTCTTTGAATTTTACCACATTAATCAAAATCGATCACTAAAATCTAAAAAAAAATTAATTTCAATTTAATTTACTAAAGCTGCTCAAAAGAATTTCTCCCTATTTTTTAAACCTTTAATTTCTTTTTTTCTCACTAAAGGCGCTACAGTTGCTCCTTCCTTTATTATTATTTATTTATTTTATTTCTTTTGTTCAAATTGCATATTTCTGGACTTTTGAGCAGAATACACCATGAAGAATGCGAAATCCATATTAATTTCCTCGAAAATTTTAATTATAAAATCAAAATCAGTGTGAGTTGAAGTTTACCGAATATTGATTTAAATTCTCAAAAAACGTTTAATCATGTTTTAGAAGAATTTCCATATTCAGAAAGTAAAGAAGTAATAAAGAGGAAATAGAAAAGAAATATCAGACGAAAAAATAAATTTGATACCCTAAACAAGAAAGAAATACGAGACGGAAAAATGAGTCTTATTACTAAACCCTATCCAGTAATGACCCATAAGCTGCAAGCAACAGAGTTATAAAAGTGTTCACATTCCGCGTCTTCAGATATTAAGCGTACCACATGTTCCTGATGAACATTTCCTCACCCAAGACACATACTAATCGATTTGTATTATTATATACAACGATTAGTGACGAGAAATTTCGTTACAAAAAATGAAGCTTTAAATGATATACTTTACGTAGAATTTATACATATGAGACAAAATTCTCTGTTATAGTGGATATTTTGTAGAATGTAGAATATCTCCGAAGAGAAACACGAATAAGTTACAATATTTAGGTTACTCGTATTATTGGTTTCAAGGTTGCTAATCTTTTTTATTTCAAAGGAAAATAAAATATCAGTTTTCTGGACTAATTCGAACCACTTCCTCAGGGAAGATAGGAAAAATTGTTTTGATATCCAGCTTTTACCCTTATGTCATTGTCGCTATTTCTGTACCGTTATTAACAGATGTCACACCTCCATTCTAGCTTCAATATGAGCATAAATAGTCTTGGCGCTATCTAATCTATCTTCATTTACTCCTGCGGCATGCAAGTAACTTTAAGGAATCATCCAATGGCATAAAACAAGTACAATATCAGAGTAAAATAGTAAAAATATTTATCCTATTAACTGTCTAATATTTATAGTATTGGCACAATTGTATCAAAACTTTAGTAGGAACATTATTTTGGATCATTCAGTACAACATCCGAAACATGCGTTAGTCAACTGCTAACGGTTTTGGTAATGTTTCTAATTGATAGCGTTCTGCTAGTAGTTAAGTTTATGATATCTAAATTTATATTTGAATTTTTGACACGAAAACTAGGCTAACTTTGCTCTTTCTTCGAGTATAAAATGAACATTCATTACGTGACACACATCAGGTTTGTGAAATTTTAATTAATGTAATGTTTTGGTTCTGAATTCTTCATTGCAGAGAACATTTGTGAAGAAAAAATATTATGTATGATTAGATAATTACAATAAATGTCTTTCTTCCTGTGCACTTCTTTCACATATGAAACAGAAGGTTTCAATACTAGGGGAACAAACCTTAAGTTAGTGACTGAACAAACTGAACAAAAAATGTTTTTAAATGAAGGCTACACGTTAAGCAGTAAGGCACTGGAGGACGCTTTCTATTTTCCCACACGCGTTACCTTTGACAAGGTAGAGACGTAAGTGCTATCAAACAGGCGTATAAAAGTCGAAGTTCTGGCATGCACCGTCATTATTCTCTTTGTATTCCCCCCTTTTTTTTTGCATTTGTATTTTTTATTCAATTTGTATGTGCCTGTTGGCCCTAAGAAGACCTTGTTTCCCACCTGAAGATTTTCGTATTCTGTGTTTTTTATTCTTAGAAGTCCTGGAGTTTCACGAAAATAAAATTTGGCAAAGAAACGACGGTCTCACCTTTTCACCCCTTCATCCTCCATACCTTAAGCATGATTCCTAGCTTATGACATAAATACACGAGATGTCATCAGTAACTGTTATTGTCATTGACCCAGATACATTGCACTCCGAGCCAAATTCATGGTTATATCGGCAGGTTAGCGCTATCAGGGATTTATAATGGATCGGTATACGAATGAGGAGAACGTGTACATAATTTTTGTCTGTGAAATATGGCATGAGGACAGCAATAGAAAAAGCATTCTGCACTTAACATGGGATCATGTGATGAAAAGTTTTTTTTTGTATGCTTTAGCATTCTTTTAAATGATGTTTGATCCATTATCTTTGAAGCACGTTTTATGTCTTTTGAAAGAAATATTATATTATTAATGCTATAGGTAGGTTTACTAAACGTAATAAATACAAAAAGATTATATAATATATGCAAAATATAATACATTAGATACAAACCATAGCCTTTCTTCCTGGAACCAACAGCCATGCATTTTGGAATGTCAGGCCGTAGTTTTCCTTCCAGGCACTGTACAGGATCAGGCACTGCTTTCGCGAAGTCGTGATCACAGGAGTATCGTATCGAAGACCCATGGGATATGGTGAGTCCGGTCCTATAACCGTCAAGGTAAGAACCATGGGCTATATCTTGAAGCTCGCAGAGACCTCCATAATGAGAAAATGCCTATTATCAAGCTAAATTCTTCTTTGCAAGAAATAAAAACTTACACACACACACAAATAAAGTCTATCATAAAGCAAATTAATGTATTTGTACGTGGTCCGCCAGAAAAACGGGCTATTTTAAAAACTAAATATGTCCTAAGTCTAAATTATTTTGATATTTTTGATCATGTAATATTTAAGTACATAAGTATTTATCTTACAGGTGTTGAGCACGACGTGTCTTGAATAAAATGCCCTGTAGATGGCCACCATTTCTCTGTATACATTCCTGTAACCTCGACCGGAAATTGTCCATTACGTTGTGTAGCATCTCAACAGGAATTTCTCTTATCTCTTGTTGAATTCTTCGTTTAAGTTCTGGAATATCTCTTAGGGTTGGAGCAACAAACACTTTACGTCTTAAATATCCCCATAGAAAAACTCCGGAGAGGATGGACTACGCAACCGGTCCACCACACCAGTCCATCGCTGAACAAACAATACACTCATACGTCTAAGAACATAGCTTCCAAAATGGAGAGGTATGCTGAAATCACATACTGTTACATTTTATGGGACAGGGGGAAGTAAGTCTGATTTCGAAAAGGTTAAGATAATTTGTTGATAAAATAGATGATGGCAACAGATTAGGCCTGACTAAGCAGTCACCGACTAAACCAGCCGAAACATCCTGTGAGACAAGATGTTGGTCATAACGCTCTCTCACTCTATAGGAGTTTGCTTGAGTCCATAAATACGCATTGTGCTGATTAAATACACGATCTCGTGTGAAATATGCCTAATAAGTAAACAAAACATAACAAGGCAAATGAGAATCTTCCCATTTACACAATAGTGCGCAAAACGCACACGTGCATAGTGATTTGCGGGGAGTAGCAACTGTGGCCTTTAAAGACAATATGGGTATAAGGATGCGATTTGCAAGACGCGATGTATGCAGTTCCGTAATCCTCTTATAGCAACAGAAACAACACGTATATTGGTACTCAGCATAATCCTCTCTGTCGCATCCAACACTTTATATACCATGTGTGGCGTACGAGTCACTCCTGGCTTGTCCTCACTATACCTACTTCCTTTTAAAGACTCATATTCTAACAAATTGTGATGCGCATCCGTTCAGTGGTCCGGTACATCTCTCTGTGAGAGCCGTTTCCGATACAATTGCTGAGTTGATTGTATACTACCATCAGCCAATCCATACAGGAAATGCATGGATACCAGTTCCCGGTTTATATAACGTTGCATGGTCCTCTAAAGGTGACTACTGCTCAAATGATTAAAAATCAGATATTTCCTCTCCAGCGTCTTCATGAACAGAACAATAAAAATCAAATATATATATATATTTCTCCTAAATCCCAAATTTACCGTTCTGAGTCAGCTAGCTCTTTGATATGCAGTCACTACGAGTCAATTTGTTGTTAATCTAAAAATACCATGTGCAGGAGCTATGAAATTTATATTTCGTGATGTGGGAGACGTTGATTTGAGGGACAGCAAAAAATCGCGTTTCCTAGTATCATTAAAAAGTTAAAAGTTTTAAATTTATTTCAGTTGGCAATCATACATAATATTCACACGTCAAAAATATAAACACAGAAATTATAGCGGAGCCTAACTGAAATAAAAATTCAAAGATAACAAATAAACGTTATTAATTGATTTTCCTAACTTGCCTTCAGTAATAAAAGAATGTTTCGATGTAAAATTGTACACTGCGGAAAAAAAGAGGGGACAGTTCAATATCTCCCGTTCTTCTAGGCCGATTGACTAAATTCAACTTGCGTTTTTCATGTCTCGAATGCGAGACTTGGGATATGCATTATATTTATATATAGCATTGTTCTAATATAGATATTTTGACATAAAATCGAACTATTTTCTGAAATGCCATGCCAATTCTTTTTCATATTTCGACTCTACGATTCAAATTATGTCAAAATGCCAAGTTTTGTAAAAATCGCACAAGTAGGTTTTAAAAATTTAGCTCCTCTATGTTAATTGAATTTGGTATATATTTATTAATATATCTTTTATTAAACTTATTTGATTCTTCTTTCACACTTCAAAATTTAGGTACATTCCAAATAAAATTCACCCATTTTTTACGATTTATTTTTAAAATTTATATTTTCAAGTAATTTTATAAATTTTTCAAAAACATTTCGGATTACAACCTATAAAAGTTTTACCATCATCTTAAAGTAGACGTATTTCTAAGCAAAGTTACAAAAAATTAGAGTTTCTTTGTTCAAAATTTCCTAAGATATACGTGAATTTATATTTTGGTGCGTTTTGAAATTTGTCATATTTATTATAAGCGATAATAACGAAAATGTGGTTTACGCACTTTGTTAAAATTATTTGAAAGAATGAACGATGGCCCTTTTTTCTGATCGTGCATCAATTAAAAAAGGGAAAGTAAGTAGGTTACTATGCGCCAAGTAAATTGGCGCAAACTGAAAAAAATGCACCAAGATAATTTTTGAATTTCTCCGTAAATTTCCCACCAAATTTTACAAAATTTAATATTTAAACATAATTAGAGTCGTAGAATCGAAATATGGAAAAATTTGGCATGTCATTTCAGAGGAGGAAGTCTGATTTTCTGTCAAAATACCTATATTAGAAGAATGCTATATATAAATATATTATATATCCTCAGTCGCACTTTCGAGATATGAAAAGGCAAGCTGAATTTCGTCAATCCGCACAGTAGAACGGGAGATATAGGACTGTCCCCCTTTTTATTGTGCAGTGTACATCGTTAAATATTCGTGTATAAGTCAAGTTCAATACACAATGGAAAACTATCTCACAATCTGATATCTTATCTGATATCAGAATGTGATATATCTTATTCTATCTGGTATCTTAACAATATCTTGCGCAAGAATGACAAGATATTGTTAATAGAGCTATAAGACAAGAAAATGAAGTTATAATTTTATTTCTAGCATTCATTTTACAACAGAAAATATTATGCTATCAGCTAAGAGATTTTTTTTTCTGTTCATTTACTCAAAAAGCTTTACACTTAATTTCTCAAAAGCTCAAAATATTAACTCATTGGGAAAAAAGCCTATACCCTTTGATTATTTTTATTTAATGTAACGCACATACAAATTTCTTCGCGTATTTCTTTACTTACTTTATTTATTTAATACTTACTTTTCTTACTTTTATTTATTTAATAAAAGTATTTTGCGGAAAATACCACTTTCATATTTCTTAACTAAACAAAATTGTCTACGAATAGACAGCAATTTTAATGTTTGCTGCGGAATTTGCCCTACTCTATGTGCTGCACTTATATTTATAAGATCAGAATAAACCTAACGTTTCTCTAGCGATCATAAAAAGGATCACTAAAAGCTATTGAAAAGACTTAAGCTACATTTGGAACTATGTTCAGCGCATAGAAAGCACTCAAATATCCTTATCACGCAAAAGACATTAAAAGGGAGCACTTGCAGATGGCATTTCGTTTTCATCGTCACACGCATAGAATGCCATTCACCTGAAACGCAATACATACTCACTTCGAAAAATTTCATAGAGTACTAAAAGACTTTCGTAAATACCTATTTTTTCTATTGTGAAGTATGTCTGAGAGAAATAAATTTATGATTTTGTCGAATAATTGTATATCTTTATTTACTTAAAAAACTTTAAAAAAAATTTCGAAACCTAATTTTCAAGAAACAATTGTGAAAGTTTTAAAATAGTGTTCTCCACTATTTGATTTTAGTTTGCTTTTATGTGTACAGTTTTAATTGCAGGTAATGTTAGCTATAAGTAAACTAACTCACGAAGCTTATGACTTCACTTCCTTTCCTTAAGCAGTTTGCTTATTACTGATATTTACAAACGGAATGATAAATTAAGCCTTGAAATATTCTACAGAACTCAGCTGATTACCAGCAAATATTAGATTTCAGTTCTGCTTTTATAACTTAGAAGGAAGTGTGAAGAAATATGTTAAGCTTATTTCCGTATGTTGAGTGATTTAAAAATATCGAAGGCATTTAATCATCTTTAAATCTCCTATTAGTTATTGGGTGACAACTACAGAACTTGCAATATAATATAGAACACTCATGAAAAACACTCAAGTAACTTCTTCTTTTGGTGCTCTTGTTTCAAGAAGATTTTCGATATAAAAAATAGAGTTATCCATTCTTTTTTATTTGCATAACATTCAAATCCATTTGAGTTGCAGATATTATTCGAGAAGATGACCAGCGAACCTACTTTACGGAGAAGATTTCTTGTTAATAGGATCATTCACCGCATAAGGATGTAGGCAGTGTCCGATTTCGGGTTGCATGTAGCAAATAGTTCACTTCGCAGTTTCCAGCCTCTTGTATGCGAAGAAAATGGGCGATTTTGATCCGCTATTTATTGGTGCAACACCGGAGTACCTGAACCACGAGACCCTACCTCGATCGGAACATTATACATTTCAAAATTATGTTTGACACAGTTAAAAAAATTATGCAAAGCTCTCATATAGAAGTATACATCAGTATATCGGGGGTGTTGACGCACCCGCCACTAACATGTTGACGACGATTGTAAGATTATGTGACAGCTGTTACTATAAATTTTCGTAAATATTTGTGTCATGTAATTGAATCTTGGTTTTTGTATATTGTTATAATGCTAAGTATTATTTTTATTTAATTATTTGGTTACTTGCTGAACTTTATGTTATACGTTTAGCGTGTATGCTTTTATTTAATGGAATTTTCGGCCACTTATTGCATTTGTTCCTCTTGTTGCTTATGTTCTCTTGTCTGACGTAGTCAGCCCAAGCTCACGAAATTTCTCGTGGTCAGGAGCGCTAGAATGCGCCTGCCGTTGGCAACAGCCTTGACCACCTTACAGGTGACAGTGCGATTTGGCTCAGTTCCGCCCCCAATTTTGATGGAGAGCACCCCGAGATGGGCGAGTCCGAGGGTTTTACACCCCTCTCCCCTTCCACCAAACCACATGAGAGGACTTTCTGCTCGCCGCATATTTAGAGTGCCGCCATGTTACATCGACATTTACAAACATGGTGAACTTATCTCTCACATGAGAAGATCCTTGCTCTCCAGAAAGAAAAAGGGTCTCTGCAACTTGCAGGAAGTTGAATATAACTGTTCCAATGTGATTTAAGCGAGAAAAAATGTTAAAAATGGGTGCGTTGCAAGTATATTTTACTCAAATATATTAAAAATTAACGATAGTGTCAAGAACAATAGTATCTATAAAAATTTACCTTTACCATTTTTTGGTTGACTTTGAGTTATTAGAAATATCTTCGCCTAATTAATTCAAACAGTAAAATGATTTTTGTATCTGGAAAACCTTTTCACATAATTAACTAATATTGCCAATAGAAAAAGAGAAAAATATTGAGATTGAAACAGAATATTAAAGACTTACCAGGCAGGCATTTAGGCATCTTGTTCACCGCCCATTCTCCATACCAACATCGGATAGCCTCGGGACCCATTAACTGGAATCCATCTTCACAAGAAAGATTTATTACTTCGGTATGTTCAATATAATTTTTGGTTGTCACTTCTTGATCAAAATGGTGGTAGATGCCATTTTGTGTATAGGGAACTTTACAAGGCGCTAGAAAAAGAAGAAACAAGCACGAATTAACCATTTGTCCGTTAAATCTTATATATTCTAGCTCTTTGTCTATATGGAAGTTTCAGGAAGTGCTGAGGTTTTAAGAATAAAACAAATTCTCATGCTATTTTTAAGTTACTTAATTTCTACCCATATTCAGGGCGGGCTATCTTGAAAGCTCAAGAAAGGTATAAGCGATGTACATCCGACGATCCGCCGTAAATACACTCCATAAATATATCTATCAGAAAAAAGTACTTATTGAAATTGCTTTAAGAACAGTAAATAGATGAAATCAACGTGTCAGATTATTAAGTTTAATGCTTTTACAGTTTTATGTAATTTCTTATTAATTCCTAATAGGACTTCAAAACTAAGCCCATCAGTATACCACTAATCAGAAGGACTTAGAATCTCAATATATGCAATATGTTTTTAGTAAACTCTTCTGTTAGTAATATATACTTTTTCATACTTGTAATCCTTTCTGATCTGAAGCAAAATGTAAAACACATGAGCTAGAATGCTGTACAGACTAAATTTGATTGCCAGTTACATAATCCTGAGACTATAAGGATTAATTCCAAATTGCTTGGAAAACATTCCTTGTTTCCCCGAAAGGCAGAGACAGAGAGAGAAAAGGAGGTGGTCGGAGAGCGAGAAACAATGATTAGCATTGAGAGTTTCGCTGAAAGGAAGAAATAGAAATGATTATAAAAATACGAGGTCTACCCTGAAAGCAACCCGCCATTTTGAATAGCTAGGAAACACTCTGTAGATGTACCATTATTAGTCAAATAACCGGAGTGGTCTGTATTGCATATTGATGAAAACTGTTATTGACTGTTAAACTGTTATTGCATATTTATGAAAACTGTTATGCTTGACGACTGTTATTTCGAAAAGACTTTGCTGTTGAGTAAATTCCTGAGCACATTATTGTCGTTTCCTTAATGATTAACGGATACAGTTGTGAACCTCAATTTTAAGAGCACTAGAATTATACCTGGACTTCGTTTTTGTAACATTCTTAAATTCCTTCTTAGAATAGGAAAAAGAAGTGCAAATTCGTCATCTACTCGCTGTGATTTCGAACAAAATGATGATACGATGTATTGAATGTTTATTCGTCGGCGCTTTACCTTCGAGTGAATAGTCATATGTCAGACTATTCATGTATGTCCTCTAAACTCCACTCTAGTTTACTGTCAAATTACATCAAAGCTGTATGACACATTTCGAAGTGATTTGATACATGCCTGATACAATATAACCTTTTTCGAAAACAAATTGTAATATTAAGAAGCACGTGGGAAGTAGGGTTAAATCGGTAGTCCCTCTATTCGCAGTTCACATTTGCTGCCTAGAGGAATACCAAATTTTAACCTTGGTTTATTACTGCTTCTTATTTCAATAAATTTTTAGTTATTCAAAATCAGTTGAGATATGCTTTTGAAATATTTGCTAATCAGATTTCTCGCATTGGAATTAATATCTTCAAAATCTGAAGGAGATATCAGATTTTTAAAGTGTAGTTAAAAAAATAAACACCTGTATATTGTATAATAACAGACTAAGCTGAAATCTTTTTAAAAATAAATTAATTAAATATGTTTTTGCCTTCAGGAGTAAAAGTTTTATTGTTTTGGAAAGAAATATCTGTGATTGTCTTATAATACACAAAACATGAAATCTTAAAAAGCTTCCTTAAAGACATATTCGATAATCATGAAAATATGGTAATATTTTGGACATTTTACATAAAGTGAAACAAAACAGTTTCAATGAATTTTATAAAAAAAATTGACTGCAAATCCAATTAAAACTGTTTGAAAGTCACATAGATATGCGATTGCGGAATAGTATAAAGCATTAACATAAAATTTATTACATAAGAAGTAATAAATATTTAATGATGATATATTTTAATTTAACCATTTAAAAACAATAAGCTTCGATTAAAATGTCACATTCCTTTTATTTAAAGTATAGGAACTTTTCTTTTTATTTGATGTTTACTTAACGCTTTGTTAATTTAAAACATTTAATAAAATAAAGCTTACGTTTAGAGACTTTAAGAAAAATAAATATCTATTCAAATGCTGCAATACTTCTTGGTAATTTATTCAACAGTGATGGCCCACCAGCCGCGCAGCTGTAAAATCGCAGGGTAGTTTGGTTCGAGTTTCGAACCCCACGAACTGGCTGGCTGTATGGGCGTTTTCGTTGTTTTTCCCATGTGTAAAGTGTATACGACTTAGTTCCCCTTAGAAAGTCCTCCACGAAGGCATCCTTCCTCTTAGCAGATAGCCCTCGAGTGCTTTGCCATAATCAAATAAACAAAACCAAACTATTCAACTGCGGCTACTGATTCTTCAAAGGCTAACATGATATGCTATCTAAGTACGGTAGTCGCGGCTATTTAAGCACGGCCAGTGGCGCCAATGAATGCAAACATGAAACTGTGATTTATACTGCTTACTGACTAGAATAGATATGCATGACTGGAGCATTTTTATGTTCATAAAGATATATATACAGTTAGGCTTTTTCTTTTACATAGTTTGTAATATAATAAAAGCAGAGAATAGCGAAATTAATAAAATAATTAAGTTTTAATTGAAGACTAGCAGAATGTAATAAATCAACTAATAAAAGCGCCTTTTCACTTCCACCCACAGACCTGCATTCATATTTGACATTACTATTAGGCAGGTCTAAATATGGTACAGTAAGAAAAAGTTCGCTGAAAATGATTAGATATTTATATTATTAAATAATTATTATTATTTAATGATTGTTTAAGACTAAGGTAAAATGTAACAACAGAGAAAGAGGTGGTTCTGAGTAGGGATGACATATGGAATTTTATAATCTAGGAATGAATTTTATTTCTTAAATTTAAGACCTAAATACGTATTAAAACTAATTTCGCCTTTGCTTTGGAATTCTTATCTATCGTTTGAGAAATATCTGTACCTCTTTTTAAAATATTCGAATGAAAAACATTGCTTTTATATTTGAGAGAATTTTTTTTTAGATAGTTTTGATATTAAAAAGGCATAGCTTTTGTATTTTCTAATTCTCTAAATCCCTTGTATTGGAACGAACTCATGTTCAACTAGTAAAACATTACTTCACTCACTCTTAGAAATCGAACTATCTATGCTTTTAAGTGTCAGCTGGAATAGTTAAGATAAATGTAAGGAATCATAATGGTCACATGAAGCAGAAATTGGCAAGTCGACATTGACACGTACGCAATTTACGTACTCGTGACACATTCTGGTTTTCTAGGCTTCCATCTTCCTGCAATGCACCTCGCAGTCCTGTTGCCGATGTTGAGAGAATAGCCTCCTCCACAAGTCACTTGGATGACAGCCCCTCTGGAAGCTAAGGCATTTGATCCGCGACCTTTTCTCAAAACCTTCACCTCCATCCACGGTGTTTCCTCCACTGCTTTGCAGAGGCCTAAATAGAAGAAATATTAATGAGGTCTTCCCCAAGATATAAAAATTTTCAAAAGAACAAAAGGAATTTTAATATTCTACATTATCATTAATTTAACTATACTAAATTATAAATTCTGTATAATAGAATATGTATTATAGAAAGAGATTTATGGTTTAAGATCACTAAAAATGCTAATTGAAAAATATAATACAGTTATCTGCTGAATAACCGGGCTTTGCCTAAAAAAAAGTTTAAGTTCGTTTATAACAGAACAATGGAAAAATTACTGCCGCAAATCATCAGGATAAAATAAAGTTTGTATGGTAAAATCAAATAGAAGAAAATGTGCTTGGGATACTAGATGATGTTACAGTTTTTACAGATTACACATGTTACGGATTGTTTTTATTAACAGTAGTGTGCTATTTAATTATACTTAATCTCGAATTTATGAACATCATTAAATTATCCTTTAAAATAAATTGCTGAATCCTAAAAATAAATTAAGTGCACTGGAGACCGAACCTCAGTCCCGGAATACCATGCAGAGTTGAATGAAACGGGCTCCAGAAGGGACTCATCAGTGGCAGCGCAGGCCCCACGGTCCCTGCCCGGCTTTATACTAATTCTCAGTAAAGACGAAAGTCTTAATACAAATAAAAATCGCTAAGTCATCTTTGCCTTGGGGCACCACTCTCTCAGCATCGAGTTGTCATTCGGTGCCTTACCTTGCGTCGTCAGTGCCCGTCACTGGGACTATGAGGGCTGAACCCCCTTCGCAGAGACCCACTTAACTCTACATATCTGCTCCACCACAGCCGAAGGAACGGACACGACAGTACCAGTACGGTCCCTGCCAAGCCCGAACCTACCTGAGTACAATACTCGGGTTCTAGTCCTGTGAAGAGTGTTTATGTACCCCCGTGGTTGAGACTGCCTAGGTACAGATCCTAACCAGTACTTCCCAGGACGTCTCCTGAGTGAACCCCGGGGGGGGGCAAATTAAGTGTACAGGTGGTTCTTGTTGACTTCTTTCGAAATACAAAAACATCGTAAACAAAAACATTGTTCTTTCTGTTTTGAAGCCACCAGCGGCCGAGCGGTAAAATCGCTGAGCACTGGTAGTTCGGTCCGAGGTTCGAATTCCACGAATGGGCTAGCTGCATGGGCGTTTTCGTGTTTTTCTCCATGTATAACGTGTACACGAGTCGGTTTCCCTTAGAAAGTCCTCCACACGAAGGCATCACTCCCCTTAGGCAGATAGCCCTAGTGTGCTTTGCCGTATTCTCAATACACAATACTTTCTATTTTGAAAAGTATTGACTTTTTTCCCTAATGGCGGGCACTTTCCTATACCGGCACCGGCCACTCCTAAGACCAGATGTGTCGGTCTCTTTATTATGGAGGCGCCTAATAGATGAGCCACCTTTGCCTCCTATGAAGGAACAGACAATTACACCCATGGCTTCTCTGGGATTCGAACCCGGGCCTTTCGGTATCGCAGTCAAGTTCCCCTAAACACTATACCGTCCGGGCGGCTTGAAGTGTTTTGTTCATGTTTTGAAATGCTAATTTGGTTTAGCTAACAAAATGAGCTGAGTATCTATATTAAACTACTTAAAAAATACAAGTGAATTGTTAATAGTATTTTTCTGCGAATTTTAACATGAATTATAACTGTTTTGTTTTTATTGCTGTCGGATTGGTCGTGATTTTGGGTTAAACATGGACGTTCTCCATATTATCTCGGTTAATATGGAGGCTATTGTACTCTTTAACCTTCTCAATCATATCGCCACCAGGTGGCCTTACCACCACCAGCTTAATATCATATCGCCACCAGTGGCTGAACGACTAAAGACAGGTGAATATTGGTGAGCTGGTTATATGTCTCTCCAGACAGATGTAATAAGGATTTTCGAAAAGTTAATTTGATGCTAAAGACAGGATTTTTCAAGAGTAAAATAGTATGTCGGATAACTGATTTTCAATTATGTAACCACAGGAAGGGTTATGTTAACAACTAATTATAAGATTAATCTTTCCAACGTAATTAAAAACTGGTACGCTTTTATATGTAGTTTTAAAATAATAAGAATTTTCTTTCATTCAATTACTCATGTGAATTTGGTTTGTTTTGAACCAGATTATTAGCATTTAAATTTCTGTAATTCGCGTATTTCCTTGAAACAAAGAGGGATCAAATTCACAGATTCGAAATATATCTGTAACAAACGATTATTAAAAGTGCTTGATTTCTTTTAGATAAGCACAATTCCATACATTTGAGTCATACAATAATGCTTGATATGTATCAGATGAAAAAGATCTTATTTCAGAATGGCATAAAAATCGTTACTGTTTTTGCGATTCCTCAAGAAACCGCTTTGTTTTAAATAAATGGTAACTGTGCAGCAGAAAGCTTTTTGGTGTACCTCAATTTTCGAAATTTCATGGGAGTGTTTTATTGACGTTATAAAATTGATTCACCAATCACTAAAAGCAAATTGGCAGTTCCAACGAAGAGAATGTCTACGTAAAGATAAGAAGAGTGCGCGATAGTTGCATGTTGCTGTGAAGACAGGTTAATTTAGTGCTTCAATAGATAGATGACTTTCTAAATTACCTGATCTTACACCGTGTGTTTTTATTCTTTCAAAATATGTTAAAGGTATTGTTTTCCTACCATCGTTTCAATAAGCCTGCATGACGTCAAAAGTTACATTGCTTCTGTTATCAAAAGATATGCTGAAATTAAGTATGGGAAGACTTTATTTATCGGCGTTGTGTTATTAGACTAACTATAAATGGTCATCTAAAATGAATCCGTCTTGAAGCTAAAACGGGAAAAATTGTTCTTTCTCTCATGCATCACCGTTCACTTTTCGCTTGGCCACATTAAAAATAAAGCCTTTGGAATCAGGTTAACGATTTTCACTAACCTTGTATTTTATGTAACATACATAACAGAGGGTAAATTGAAAGTAACAAGATTCATTAATAATTTCAGAACATTTTACTACATTACTTTTTTGTTTCCTCTTCCCTCTCTTCTTCCACTTCGTCTTTGTTATATCCAACCTTCGCTGTCTTCGAATGGCCACTTCCCTCTTTTCCCTGACGGATCTGTCCCACCTCACCTGAGGATGAGAACCTCTCACGCATTTTGGTTTCTCTTCAGGGCTCCAGCGTCCATCGACACAAGTGGCACCTGGTGGACCTTCCCCAAGCGTATAGTGTCGATCACATTCGTACATAATTTGACGATTGTTAGTTATTTTGCGTACATATGGCCTGTAGTCGTACATGCCCATATGCCCAACGAGCAAGATGCGGCCATTGACGAGGGTTCCAGGGAAAGGGCAATATGCTGTGAAATTGAAAGAATATCATTACGTTTAATTACTACCAATAGAAAATACTATTCTAAAGCTGTTACACGAAACATTCGTAATTTTTATCCTGAGTTACTTGCTGGTTTATTTTAGTTAAATTCTGTTTATGCATATAAAAGCGCTTACTCCAGAAAAAAATGCAAATTCCATTGATGGAGTCTTAAATAAAAGGCATATACAGATATAAAAGCAACTTGTTAAATGAAAACTAAGTCTTATTTTGAGCTGATAAGTAATCGTCCACTGGCTTGGTTGCAAATAGTTTTAATTCCATACACTGTTAATGAAACTAGCTTGAACGTTTAATGAATATCAAGTTGCAAATGAAAGGCGCTTAGATGATTAATTAGTGTTATAACAATCAGTCAGCAGGACTATTACGGCCGTTTTAAATTAATTAATTACGGTAAAATTTCGAAGTTACTGACTGCATATATTCTATTTGTCCCCCAAGAGCAGTTTATGTTCCTTTTAATTTGTGGTAGAAGCTAAAACTAAACGAAAATAGTATTTTAATTTTCTGATCTAATTTGCTTTGTGTTTATTTTGTAGTATTATAGCCTTGTTATAGCAGGTTTTAAGGCAGACAGTCAAGTGACCGCTTTAGGCTAGAGGCTAGAGAGTGAAGAACAATGTCATGGATAAAATAATGAAAAAAGGCTAATATTTAATAAGAAATACAAAAATCAAACACCCATAGTTTTTTTTATATTATGCCACTACATTCAGTTTACTTAAAATATAATTTAAAGAAAGTGGCTCATATTTCGGTTTACAGCATGGTATTACTTACAAAATTCTTGCTTCTTGAATTAAGAAAGGTTATTTCAAAACATCTCGTCATTAAATATTTCATTCACTACTCTCTTTTATTCCGCCATTCTAATTTAAGGAATGATGTTGGCCAGTTTAGCTTTGTTCCGTTAAATCTATCGCAACTTAAAAACCTGATCTGAAAATTTTTCTAAGAATGATATTTAGATTTTGAAAACATAAATTAATATTTGACTTTAGCTACTTATAAAATGATATACACTTTAAAATTTTCAAATCCTGAATCTAAATTGTATAAATTATGAAACTGATGCACAATTTTTTTAGTTTCTGAATTAGTTTTTGAATTTGGAATATAATCAGTTAATAAATTAATTAATTCAATTTGAACATAATCATTTGCTTTTTATAGTATACATTCTAATTTTATTTTGCAATAATAAATATAATTAATTTATACAAGTAGTTATAAAGAAATATTTGTACTAAAGACTAAATCTAAAATTTTAGATGATACACTCTTCTTCTAAATTTGTGAATTTTTCTTTGAATTAGAATCAGACTCCTCTTAGTGGTGGGAAATGTAATTAACTGTTGCAAAATAAACAGAATGTAAATTAACTTGCTGAATCCCTATTAGAAATTAAAAGTTAAACTCAAGTAAAAAAATAAACAATTACAACTTAATAACTTTCAGGAATAAGACAAAAGCAGCTTGGTAGACAGTAAAGAGACATCTTTGATCAAATTAATCTTCAATATGAAAGAAGAATTTAAATATCACCTTCTCTCTTCTCAAAACATAAAAATGTTTTCTAAGATTCGTAAAAATAATCTAAACTTATCTAAAGGCGCTTTTTAAACTTTCAAACCGAAGCTTCTATAAAGTTCAAAAGATAACACAAACGATGTTTCAAATATGACTGTTTAAGTCGCTAGGTTAAGTAAAAGAACTTCAGATTCTTTTATTTAAATACCCTTAATAATTCAAAATATTTGATATGAGAAATTTATTTAAACAATGAAAGTATTCCTCGTGAAAAAATGGATCTAGTTTGCGTTTAGAATTGTTTAACTTGGAAGGTTAAGTAACATGTGCAAACATATAACTATTTAAATTAGAACATAATTAAAAACAGGAAAAATAATTAAATGTAAGCAAACATTTTCCTAGACGGTGAACAAATGGTTATTTTCTAATAGAGCTGCATGATAGATTGGTGTTACAAATGCCTTTTACTAAATGCACTGGCTGTGTGAACACTTATGAAATTATCAAATGAGAGACAAAATACCTTAATTAGGAAAACATACCTTAATAACCATGTCAATAATATTAATAATTACGTTATTACCAATCTGTAGACAGAACTAGAAAGCGTAAATAGAATAGGTGTTAGCTAATTCAGAAGACAAACAACAAAAATCAGCGTTATATTTACAAAATTTTCACAGGACTAGTTTCGATGGTTTTACCGAACCACCACCCTCAGCTGCAAAACCGCAAATCTAGGTGTTAGCTGTTGACATCATCGATGTTGAAACAAAACAAACTTTTCGTTACCAATGTAATGTAGGTTTTACTTTATTTTACTAATAGTTTTTATTTTAAGATAGCTTTGCTTTATTTCCTCATTTTGCTACCTATGCTATCCTACTAGAATGAGTTTTCAGTTTCGCGCTTTAAAATAGGGGAGAAACTACTACTTAAGCTGAGGTTTGAGGCCCTTCAGTAAGACAGCCAGAGAGCTAGCAAGAGAGAGAGAGAGTATAACTGTAACAGTAACTCGTATAATATTATAAGATAGTTCTCCCGCCTTGTTAGCATGCCTTCGTGGTGTAATGGTCATCACACTCGCCTCGTATTCGAGTGGTCTGAGGTTCAAGTCCTTGAGAGGGCATAGCTCAATTTTCATGTCGTCTGCTTTAAAAAAAACCCTTTAAAAGGAGTCTCTACAGTGGCGGCCGAACTAAAAAAAAAGTGGTGGGTGATAATTCTCCACCACCAGGATTTGGCGATTGGGTCTCCCAATCTCCAATTGCCCTTTAAAAAAGGGGTAGAATATAAGGTATTTTATTCCTTCTTTCTGCATGCCTTCGTCGTGTAGCGGTTAGTACACTCGGCGCGTATTCGGGATTTACGAGGGTCGAGTCCCGGCGAGGGCATTGCTCTTTTTTCCATCTCCCCTGCTTCGAAATAACCTAATGTCTCTACAGTGGCGCCCGAACTAAAAAAAGGTGATGGATGATGATTCTTCACTCCAAAGATTTGGCGAGTGGGCCTAATCCCCAGTCCCCCTTTAAAAGGGGGAGTATGTAAGGTATTTCTCCCGCCCTCTTAGCATGCTTTCGTGGTGAAATGGTCAGCACACTCGGCGCGTATTCGAGAGGTCCGAGGTTCCAGATCAGGCGAGGGTACTGCTTATTTTTCATGTCTCCTGCTTCGAAATAACCTAATGTCTCTACAGCATTATAACTCGTATAAGAACTCGTATAACAACGTGAAATTAAAGCTTGCTAGTTTACGGCTGTGCTTATTACGTGCCTTTTAGTCTACACTGGGGATTTTCAGTTGACAGCCAACTACGTGGTAACAATTCTGTTCAGCTTAGGCTGTTTGGTTCTATTTAGCCTTAGATTAATTTTACATTGTCTATTTTAAGCCAAAAGTGTTGGCTTCCTGTAAGCCCAATGGGGCCGTCTGTGAATATTTTAAGATCAAATAAAAGGGTATGTTAACCCTTCTTCGGAGTTGTTATTTATGCTAGGAGAACTTAGCGAATAGTAGTTATTCAATTCAACTAGGTTCTAGAAGTTAAAGAACTTTATTTGTTAGAACTTTACAGTGCAATGTGATTTTCTCTTGGTTAATGTGACTGCATTGAATGCTAACTTCGCGATTTGACAGATGAATAATCAGAGAAAGTAACAAAGGGTTTAACAAAGAGAGAATCGCAGCAGCTTTCAAAAGAGGTAGTAAAAGTTTGGGATTTTGTCGAAGTACAGCTACAGTGAAGACAAGAATTTGCAACAAAACTTCCGACACGCCTAATTATTGCAATGATACTGAAAAGTCCTGCTTTCTTGACAATGGTGTTGTAGCAGTTTACATGTTAGTCTCAAAAGATGCACATAAGGAAAAATTGTAAGCCATGCACAGCAATCGTTTTCAAGCCTTTGGCCAATGTTGGTCGATCAGTATAATTCACCGTTAACAGAAACATGAGGACAATTATGGAACAACTCTGAACTATTGTTACAACTGTAGAAGTCAAAAATGAATATACCCATCCTTTATGAGTGCATGAACGTATTATTAGAAATTTCTATTTTTTTATTTATTTCTTTATTATTGTTGTTGAAGTGCATATACTATTTCTAGCTTTCTCTCAATTTATAAAGGGTAGCCCAAGATAAACTGTTCCCAAAGCAAGCGAAGAACACATGAACTGTAAAGCGATATTGTAAAAGGTGGCCTAAGATAAAGCATACCGAACACAGGAGACTTCACTTGCATTGGGTCTGGTCTGTCTTGGGCCACCCGAAATAAATGATTAAGAAGAGTATTTTTTTTAAAGATCATGTTTTTATACTGAAAGCAATTAACAACTATAATGAGGAAGAGGAAGATGGGCTAGGTAAAGCTATATACTTAGTTGTACTGTTCGCATAAACAGAAAGACTGGTTGATCAAGAATATTCGATGACATATCAGTAACGACTGCGAAACATTTTCCAATAGCCTATCTAAAACTACATATAAATTACTTCTATATGAAGACATACTTGATAATTAGTTTACACATAGAACTGAATTTAAAGAAACCTGCTTACATTTATAATTTTGTTTTCCTAACATTTAGAAAAATTACACGGTTTTCTTTTCATAGTTAATGAAGAACATTTAACAACTGCTGAAGAATACCATTAATGTGTTCCAGAAAGGTGATTATAAATTTAAATTCCTTAAATGCAGATTCTAGGCATCTCATTACAGGTTCAAAATTTCTAAGAAGAAGCTAGATAACTTTAGCAAAATTTTCAACAATGTGGTTTGCGCAAAATTAACGTGTGAAGCTTTACCGTAGGAGCCTGAAATGCACTAATTTCAGATAGTAAAGCATGCATTACACCATTTAACAGCATCGTTTATTACCATTCAAGATTATCTCTTTATGTAGCAGAAATACCTCCTTTTTCA